AAAATTACAGGCCTCTCTCATCTTTTTAAGTGGGAGAACTTGCACAATTGGTGGCTGACTAAATACTTTTTTGCCCCACTGTATTTTCAGCCCCTTATCTTATACAATATTTTTCTCATCCTCCCAAGTCCAGTTTCAGCTTGTTTCAGCAAAAATTTCAAACAATTTTTAGAGTGGAACACTTTCATTTTACTCTGCTTTGGTGCTTGCTAATTCTGTGGTCCTAACATGGTTTTTTTATTATTATTTTTTACAGTTAGAGGTAGCAAATTCATTTTTATTCAGCTATCTCAGATGCTCACAGAAGTGGAGCAGGTAATGCTGAACAGGATAATTGTGGAAGTAAGCATGAAAATTAACTCCGCAGATCTTGTCGACTTTTTACCTTGGCAGCAAGCCATTGAAGAAATCTCAAATGAAGAAAATTCTTTCATGCACTATTGCTACAACACATGTCAGAAGCTCTCAGAAAGGAGCAGGACTTCAGTTCTGGCAGAGCAACCCCCTGAGGTAAATAATTGTTCCCAAACAAATAATTTGTAGCAGTTGAATTCCTCCCTAAATTATGAAGCAAAACAAAATTTGCTTTTTCCTGGAACCCATAAACTCTGTGTGCCAAAACCAATATAGAATGTTATGGTATTTTATTATTGCTACAATGCTTTCATCATTTTGTATAGGTAACATTTTAATAATACAGAAACATAGGTGCAGAATAAAAATGTCTTTTCTGTGTTAGAAATTGTTCTGAACTAAGCTGTTTCCTTCTACATATGATACGTACATTTTATGTCTTAAACTGACACATCCACTGAAAATTGGTAAAGGAAAGTTTAAATGATCTGTCAGGATCTAAGAGCAGCTGAATAGCAAAGATGATTTTGTCATATTTATTGCTGTCCAGATGATAGGTTTGGTGAGGAACATGAAGTGGCTTTTAATTTTGAAAGCAAAATACCATGTGTTATTTTTTTGCAACCAATTTAAAAGTTTGGGTATTGCCTTCCATTATACACTTTATCTGCTGTAATATAGAATTTTCTTTTTGCCAGGAAATCAAATCAAATGTCAACAAGCCCAGTTATACCTTGCTGCAGAAACGATATAGTGGACAATATTCCTTTTCTATTTATTCTGCGAACGGAAATGGATGGAACGAGTTTCAAGAGACTGGACCTATGAAGAAGTATGTATGATAGTTTTGTGTAATAGTAAAACATCCAACTAATCATACAAGCCTATAAGTACTCTATTAACAACTTTACTTCTTGCATAGTAGATTGATAATTTAATATAAGATGAAATGTGAAAATAAAATTATAGGTTAAAATGTGTTATTCATTCATTCATTCATTCATTCATATTTATATAGCTGCCCATCTCACAGTCAAGTGACTCTGAGCAGTGTATAACAAAGTTTCATTTCATTCTTAGGTTTCCACCTCCAAATCAGTAAAGCATTCTTGTTCAAAGAAATCAAAATAAAAAATAAATTTTGACCCATTTGGCTTACTAGATATTTGTTTTTTTGTAGAAACATCCTGCATTCATATGGTACTTATTTTCTGGCTACCATCCTTCACAATAGGATTGCTTCTGTTTAACATTTTATTCTCAATAATATTCTAGGAAAACATAGCCTTATATCCAAAGTACACAGAATAAAGTTATTCTTGCAAAATCAGGATTTCTCAGTTTTCTATTCACTGCAGCCCTTTAAGACTCTGAAAAGCTGCTCCTCAAAATCAAGTGATCTTCCAGAATAGTGAGATATGGCATTGGGATGGGCCATTAGCAGCAATTTGAGATATTCCTCCAATTTGTGAAAGCAGATCTGCTTTCCATTTGAGCATGAAGCTTTTAAAACAAAGCACTAGAAGTGAACAGTTGCTGCTGATGGCCTTATGGTTTATATCAGTGAATAGTTCTGGGCTAGACTAAAAGAGAGGATAAATTATCAATACTCAGAGAGAAAATTGCAAAATGGACAAAATAAAGTGGTTATTCTTGACAATGGCTTTGAAAGAGAACAGGAAAACGAACACAAGATAAAAAGTATAATCAACTTTCAAAATTGTTAAAACATAGGTGCTTAAGCTAGAAATCTCCAACGATTGTTTAAAAATGTATTAATTTTTAAGGCCCACTGAGATTTCCCTCCCCATGTAAGTTTAGGTGGATGTGGACCAGTCAGCAAACCTTTTCCGTTGTACTTCCTGTGGTCTGGAACTCCTTGCCCCTAGAGGTTCATGCAGCCTCTTTTTTAAGGCGTTTCATAGTGCTATCAAAGCAACTCTGTTTCACTGTGTTTTTAATTTGAGTTAAGTGGTGAACACCTTGGAGGATTTATTAATTTTATGACTTATCTTCTGTGTTGTATGCCAACCAGTCTATAGACTGGAAGAGGGTTGTTGTTTTTTTTAACCCTGTAAATCAACAAAGTTTTGTACAAATAACAAAAAAGCACAATCTTTCTTCTAAATAAAAATTCCTCTTTGCTATTCTATATGCACATTTCAGGTATACTTTTTTTAACAAGTGGAAAATGGTCTCAAAACCATAGAGACAAACAGGAAGAGGTTCTAGCCATGTAATAGGAAATACCTAAAGCTGGGTTTATACTAGATTCTGAGTAATTGTTTAGTTGGATTGTGAGTTTCAGGATATCATAATAAATATTTCATTATATTGTAAAAAGCAAGAAGAAAAGCTTTTAAAAACCAGATGGACCCAATTGTGTGTGTTTCCTTGTGTGTAGGCAATGAAACTGTTTAAATATCCATCACTACATAAGATCTGATGAAATAAAAATAAATTCATTTGCTTTCTGAAGATTAATTAAGAGCTAACTCTACTGACCTCCAGCATATTAGCAAAACGTTTCTCATAAATGGATGCTACTAGCAGAAAAAGCCTTTAAAAAAATGTCAGCATCTCACTTAAGGTGGAATAAGCTGTGATTCTCCATCCAGAATTCAAAAGGCCTCAGTTAGCATGTTAAATGTTAAAGTTCATGACAGTACAATTAGAAAAAGACTGAA